ATTGAAAACACATGCTGGACCCAATGAAGAAGTGCAGGCTGTTCGACTCTGTGAAACAATCCTGTGCGACGTAGAGCATTCACTTACCAGGTTGTTTCAACGTTAATCACTTAGTGAAAGATGATGATAGTTGAATGAAGCGATCTCCACATGTTCTTTCACAGAGTTAGCTAAGCGCTACTGAATTTAAACTCCCAGGCCTGTGTTTTCAAACATTAAGAACTTAGTGAAACAACCTGTTGTTCTAATATTGTCCGTAAATAAGAAATGGGGAAATCCTTCTGAACTTTCTCTGGTGCTATACGCAAGTTATATTGTTTCAAAGCTTCCTGTACTTTTAAGAAGAATTTATCACGTTCAGCTATACTGGGAGCTGCCAATAAGAGATCATTCATATAATAATAGAGAATATAATTAGGATACTCGACTGTAAAGAACGAGCTACAAACTCGTGACATAAGGTAGAGTCTTTATCATTCCTGCTGGCAAGACTCTCCATTGGTAGCGCTTAACAGGCTGAGCGTGATTAAGAACAGGAAGCGTGAAAGCAAATTTATCTCTATCTTATAATTGTAAAGGAATAGTAAAAAAAAAAAAACAATCTTTAAGCTCTAGTACCATTAAAGACCAATTTTGAGGACTAAGAGCGGGGGAAGGAAGGCCCAATTGTAAGGCTCCCATAGGTTCGATACATTTATTAACTTCTCTTAAGTCAGTCAACATTCTCCATTTTCCAGATTTCTTTTTTATAACAAACACAGGAGAATTCCAAGGGGAAGTAGAGAGCTCTAAATGGCAAAGTTGAAGTTCTGATACTAATTGCTCTGAGGCCTCGAGCTTCATTTTTCGTAATGGCCACTGCTCAACCCATTTAGGAGTATTAATTATCCATTTTAATGGGAGCGCTCGAGGAATTTGAGCAGTGGCCATTAGTTTCCTTACGGAATGGCTCCAGAAGCCCCCATGGGAGAGAGAAGATCTCTTCCCCATATGTTAATAGGTATACTAACAATATAAAAAGTGACAAATACTGTTTTTCCATTACGGAACTGGCATTGTAAAGGACGAGTACTTTTCCAAACATCCGCAATGGAGCCTAATCCTGTCAGCATTAGAGGACTTTTTTCTTTGTTCCAGTCCCGGGGCCACTGTTGAGAGGAAATGACTGAAACATCTGCCTCTGTGTCTATGAACCCTTCATAGTTCCTTCCTTGTATGGTCCAGGAAAGAAGTGGGCGAGAATCCTTGATAAGCATTTCCCAAAATATATGTGGCCCAGTCCTTCCAAAGCCCCCTGACCTTTCACTAGGAAGAGTAGAAAAGGGAAGATAAGATAAGATAAGATAAGTTATTTGCGCTATAAGTTCTCCAGCCAATAGTGAAAGTGTAATGGAAGTAGAAACCGTGATGAAAATTTCTCCAACCAAATCAGAGTCAATAGCTCCCGGAATTACGGTTAGGCCTCTTGAAGCTGTGCTGCTGCGGCCCAATATTAAGCCAAAGGTGCCTTTAGGCAATGGGCCCAATATGTTTGTTCTTCATTTATAAATGCCACCTCCCCCTTTTCCCACGTTCACGTGGCCCGGGGGTCGGACTGCGGGTCTCCTTGCAGCGGCGGCAGCTCCAGAGCAGAGTAGGAACTGCGGTGGCCAGAGTCATGGCAGGACAAGCGTTTAGAAAGTTTCTTCCCCTCTTTGACCGAGTTTTAGTTGAAAGGAGTGCAGCCGAAACTGTAACCAAAGGAGGCATTATGCTTCCAGAAAAATCTCAAGGAAAAGTTTTGCAAGCAACCGTAGTAGCTGTTGGATCAGGCTCTAAAGGAAAGGGTGGAGAAATTCAGCCAGTCAGTGTGAAAGTTGGAGATAAAGTTCTTCTCCCAGAATATGGAGGCACCAAAGTAGTTCTAGATGACAAGGATTATTTCTTATTTAGAGATGGTGACATTCTCGGAAA